AGCAGGAGATTAAGAACACATTTTGCTAGGAGACATGCATAAACATGAACATTTACATAGACTGAAAATGAGCCTCTGTAGGTAGGGTCAAGTGAGACAGCTCCTGATGGATGAACACAAAATGGGCAGCTCTCAGAGCACGCCATTTTTTTTAAATTACAAAATAATATTCACTCAAAAGAAAAAACGGATTTCCTTAGTATGCCTTCACTCATCTCTTCCACACCCCTGCTACAAACGAATCTACTGACCCCTGTCAGTAGATTCCTCAGCTCCTTGTTTGTGGAAATGGGAGTTTGCAATTATTCATGAAAAAAGATTTTTTGAACTTGAAAGAAACGTTACTAAGGATTCAGTTCTAGGATTTTGCATTGCTCCACCCAATGCAGGATCCCACCTGCTGACTCAGAAGAGTGGCCGTGCCTGTATTGAACATTTTAATCACTATACAAAGATAGAAAATAATTTTGGTGTGATATTCTGGCTTTACGTTGCCCAAATATACTGAACAAACAACTCAGTGCGACGAAGTGAATATTTCTCTGCTTCCAGATGATTTCAGATTCTGCATGTACCATCATAACAAAATAAAAATTATGTAGTAACTTGGACTTGCATTTGCATCCTACTAGCTCATGTAAGCAATTTTCTCTTTCGCCTGGTATTTAATACGATATGTTTTCAGGTCAGCCAAGAAAGAATTATGACAGTCGCTTAAATACATGGAGGTATTAAAAAGCAAGAATTTTAACCTGCCACAGGGATTTAGCATTCCTCTTCTAAAATTGTAGGGTATTCCTAATTAAAAAAAAAAAAAAAAAATTGACAGAGCACTCCTCTGGCTAAGGCTACTTAGAGCTTGTGGCATATCCTGAAAGATTATACGCACAAAATCGTTTCTGCACTGCTAGTAAAGCCAGAGAATGGCACCGTTTGGCTCTTTTCCTAAATTAGTCACAGCAGTTAGGCCCAGCACAGCAGCTTTCATGGCCAGACCAAGAGAGTGCGAGTTTCATGTGTCACTATGCATAATAGGGTGGAATTTGGTCTATTCAAGTCACTTACTAGCTTGGATCAATAGATTCATTTCTGGTTGCAATGAAGTGAAGAGAGAAATCGGTTCATTTTGTGACACTTAGCTGTCTAATAAATCAGTAAAATACAAATGGAGACTTACAGAAATATAGATTTTTTTAAAAGAACTAAAAGGCTTACATAGTCTTAACCGTTAGAATTGTTGTTATCTATCTCAGGAATTCAACGAATTCAGGTCTTACATATCTGCCAAGAGTATTTGGGGAGAATCACATTAGAATGGCATCTGGTGAGTTTTCTTATTCAAAGGCTGATCTGGGAAATATATTAAAAAGGAATAAAAGTATAATGACCAAACTCATTTAATTGCCTTCAGTGGGTCCTGCTTTCAGAGATTATCTGTGCACGTCACTAGGAGCAACTCTGAAGTTCACTTTGGAGCCTAGGTTGACTATGATGTGCTATTACGTCAATAAAGGACAATAAAAATCGCGTTTATACATGGCCCTTGGCATCTTGCCAGAATTGACGGACGAGGCCACTCATCTCTCTTCTAGGAGATGTGAGAATAAATTTGAACTAAAGTGCACAGCTTTTTTCTGGGCAAGCGCATTGATAAGTAGGCAGACCAGTAATTCCGCATAGAGAGGCTGGCTGGCCTTTGGGTAGACTACCAAAGTGTAGCAGTCAAATGCACGTTTTTCTGGAACCGCTAAAGCTATTAGCCAGTGATTCAAAGCCTGGAACATTTGAAGACTTGCACATTATGTATATAAACAACCAAGGAATAGAAAAACACGGTGTACAATTCAGATACAAAAAGACCTTTCTGATGTCCAGAATCCCCAGTAAGCACGGAAGTACAGAATGTGTTTTGAAATAATTTCCATCTCATAATACAGATGAGTCATCTAAGCAGTGATTATTCCAAGAATTTCCATTTTTGCTGGGATTAATCCTGTGAGTTGCTTAGTACCTCAGAACTCTCCGACTACGAGTCGCTAAGGTTAGCATGGCAGTAGATTCTAAAATCAATCCCATGTCATTTCCGTCTTCTCTTGCCTTACTAACTAGGCCCGATGGAAGTCTGCCAACATAATTTCCATGTGTGAAACAGATGAAGACATAGATATACCTTTTCCCCACGTGGTTTTCATATGAAACTCGTGCCACGCCACATGAGGAAGGTAAATCTTCCTACATTGGTATATATACACACCTCCATACCACACATGGCTAAATAGCTATAAAAATATACACATCTAAAATACATATATTTAAAATATTTTAATGATCTCAATGATATATTGAATAGATAATCCTGGATAGAAACAGAGACACAACAAGTAAGATTAAAGACATTTTTTAAACTAATTACTGCCAATTTGATACTTAAGTGCAGCATTTTTATACATAATTTTTAAATCAGGTTCCTAGGTCTTCAGGAGCAATACAGCCTTTTTGCAGTCTGTCTCACTAAAAATCAAGAGAACTGAAATTTCACAAGTCACCTGTTAAAATAAGACATGCTCCTTGTCATTTAAAGTTTTTAAAGTGTAATTTACATTTCAAAAACTACACTTCTGAATAAGCTAACAGGACCCAAGGTTCGTCTCACACAACCCATGAAGACCACATCTGTCTTTGTGATTTCATCTATTTTAAGACTGCTTGATAAAGTCAACATTCTTTCAGATGTCTGTTTTGCCATTAGCAGTTACTAGGAAAATGTATTTTGGTGCCTGATCTTAAAATATTACTCAACACTCATTTGAGCCTTTTTGACACAGGGAGGGAACAGCAGAACGTGTTTGTTGTGCTTAAGTAGCCACCTCCTTTGTCGTTTTCTCTTTCTTTTCTCTCTGGAGTCACTGCAGTCTGATAAACTCACATTGAATGCCAGGATGCTTCAGTCAACGTTCCAGTCCTGCAACTGGCCTTGTCTGTAGCCTTGAGAAAGTCATTTGACTGCTCTTGGTAATACAGTTTCCTCATCTATAATTCACTGCTTTGAGTCCATAAAATGAATCCACTGCAAGTTCTTTTTAGTATTTTTTTTTTTTGTTCCAGTTTTGTATTTCTAAGTACTATATGCATCACAGTACTGACAATTCTTTTTTAGTCTCTGTAAAGCCCTTAGAGATTTACAGATGTTGACAAAACCAGACATTCCAACATTGGAATATTTTAAGGTTTTTTTCAGGTCAAATGTTGTTTATGCAAAAAAAAACCAAAAACCAACCCTTCTGTGTCGAAGACAGATAAAACACTGTCCTTTTCTGCAGTGTTATACTGCGTACCAGTTTGATATTCAGCATATATGATATTCAAGGTACTCTAGAGTGTAGAGGCAAAGAAAATCTTTGAACCCTTAAAGTTGCAACAGAAACCATCCACAGCCTTGTGGGACGATTTAGTCCCACTGGTCTTAGCAAATTCTTCCATGCGATGCAGAATTGGCCCTGCTATACATACATTAAGGTTAAGGGACATGGCTATAACGGAGTTATTTCCCTGGAAATTAATTACTTATAACTCATACATATTAAATATTATTTCTTACACTGTCCTTCTAGATGTTAACTATGACTTACCTTATATGGATCCGATTGACCCGAATGAAGAAAATTCTTGCTCATACCCTTGGCTATAATTCTTTCAATCTCCTTGCTCTTGGTTTCATCTGGTTTTATCTAGCACACAGCGTGAATACAAAATTGGTAAGCAGATTGATACAAATCTCGTAAACACTAGTAACCAGAGCAAAGGTATATTACTGATATAGGCAGAGTTTAAATTAAAGCTCTTAAAGGCCATCTTAGCTACTCCATGCAATAAGAATGGGAATTATTTTAACTAACTGATAGCTTAGTAGTATGACCCATGGCTATGACATCTGAATATCATTTGATCTTTTTCATGCAATGACACCATTGTGCTTTAAAGAAATCTTCAGGTTCCACCTTAGCAGGGACAGTTGAGTCAATATCTCTGCATTTATAATCAGATGCGAGAAACAGGGGCTTACGAGAAGATGTATCACTCTTGAGAGATAATTAGGTCTTACAATACACAGTTACCCTCACAACAGTATCGTACAGTTCAGAAGTAGAAATGTTTACGGGTGGACTGCCTAGGCAACCTCACTAAGCATTTAAGTGTACTTCTCTCTGCAATTTCAGTTTATATCCAGTTATTATTGGATACAGTGTTATTTTCTTATGCTTCTTAGAAAAGTTTGGAGGATTAAAAAAAAAAATACTTACAGAGCCAAAATTAAAAATTGCATCATCTGTGACTATCTTCTTTCCACATATTAAACACTCTGGATCAAGGATATTCCTAAGAGACAGGGAAAACAGTAATTTTAAAATTCTTGGATATGCTGCTTTTAGGTAACTATTCAATAAAGATAAAAATGTGTGCCACTGTACTTTGTATCAACCTCCTTTCTCAGCTTTACTGGGAACCAAGCTGATTTCTGCCAGGAGCTGTGGGAAGGAAATTTGGCCCTTCACCTGCCACTGTCCTGGAGGCAAGGCAAGCTTTTTAACTGTCAAATTCAGCCATCAAATGCCAAAGTAACATTTGTTGTAAATCCACCTGAGTTACAGTAGACATTGATTCAGTCTGCTAGGTCTTAAAATACAAATAATGGAAGGCACAAATATTATTTAGGAACTTTTTTTTTTTTAAAAAAAAAAAAAGAAAGCAGAGCATAAAACCAGCATCAGTTAGCATCAGGAACGGAAATGCAGAATTCAAAAAAAAAGTACAAAAGGAAAACCTAGGGAATAAAATAGTTTCTTTCACAGAGAGCACATGAAGTGGCTGCATATATTTACAAAGCTGTACAAACAGAATTTTATACCAGCAGGCCAAGATCAGCCGTACCAGCAGAAGAGCAAGACTCTCTTCACACCTGTTTAACCTCCAGCTCCTCCACCAGGACCGAGCATAAGGTGGCCACTGCAATGCAGAACAGCCACTAGCCATGAGGCTAGAGCCCCTTCAACAATGCGAGTTTATAAATATTGCACAAACATCCCATCTAGGCACAGTACAGTTCTGTTTGCAGTGACTGATGAATACTGAAAATATTTAATAGCATTGTTTTGTATGATAGAATTACCTTAATAACCAGATGACACAGGACATGCAGTAAGCGTGCCCACATGGTATCTGAGCTGGATGCTGCAGAAACATTTTGCACAGAGGACAAATGCATGTGGAAGAAGCATTATTCGTGTTTTCCAGAGGTTCTTCAGAAGCGTGTGAGCTACTCATGGCTTACGCAGCAATGCTTGACACCAGACTTCCAAACGCAGAGGTGCTGTAGTATGTTTTCTTATGAAGGGAAACGGAAAAGCTTAGCCTGAAGTCATCACTGTTTTTGATGTTATACTTGTACTTAAACTGCAGACATTAAGATAATTCTGAAGGGGAAAAAAAAAAGAAAAAGAAAAAGATTTAGCATTGGGAATATACCAAAATAAACTGCCAGTCAGTCGACATGCAGTAATAGCATACTTAAATGCAGATCAAAAAAGGAAGGACTGCAGTAAGAATTTACCTAACCAAACAGTGAGAAAGCTGGAGAAATAACGACTTGTTCATTCCCAAACCATACAAATTTGAATTGTGAAGACACAAACCAAATGAAGAGGAAAGATGAAAAACGCAAGAACTGGTATTCTCTAATAGGCATCATTCCATATGTTGCCCCAAAAATAGAGCCTCAGGGGAGCTGCCTCAGAAATCTTGTTCTGGTAAATCCTCCTCCAGTGCTACAGATTTACAGAAGTAGAGATTTCAAGACAGAAGGGAGAGGCCGAAGGAGCGTAAGAGTGAAAAGGCAGCGTTGCAAACCAAAGACTATTATGGTTAGCTCTTACGAATTTAGAAACAGGTTGCCCTTCTATGGGTCTAGATTTTGTTTTATTGTTTTTCATTTCCCTAATTTCTGTTCCTCATATCTATTGCATACAGGTTTTATTGGTTTACATGTTGCTTCTCTGGGCTGCTGCTGCACACATTTTGCTACCAATACTTTTCAGCATTGCAAGATCTCTTCATGCAAACGCATTACATGAAGCAGCCCTACTTGTGCTTCTAGGTCAGTGTCTTTCACTGCAAGACTTTGAGAAACTCGCCATGTCGTTATCAGCACCACGTACACAGTGGTAAGCAGCTTTTGAAGTGAGCTGACCGTATAAAATTAAACCACCGAGTAACCTAGTCTGCTGAAACATCAAGCGTCTATGCTACAATCACAAACTCCAGGAAATTCTAAAATGAAAATGTCTTCTGTTTCATATAACCTGTTTTAACTTCGAGCTTAAGTGTCGCTCACTACATGCTACCAGGTACGTGATGCACTTGCCAGAAAACGCCCAGGTTAATTCAAGAAAAGGAGGACTTTCTAGGCTGAATTTCCTTATTTCTGTGGTTTTAAGCTGCATTTAGACTACATTATCTAGTGAAAGGCAGGAAGCAGCACTGAAGTACATTTCCCATTCTGAGTTCTCAAATATCACACTTCTCCAGGGGCAGAAATGGGGCAATTACGCAGCTCTCGGCACGAGTCCCACACCCTGGCCTCGTGCTTGTGTCGCTGCTCGCGGCCTCTCGGGTGCTCGGATCTCTAGCCTGGCCAGGAAAGGCTTTGCATCCTCTGACCATACTTTATTACACGGGCCTGACTACGATACCATCTCTGGTAAAGCTAAAATTTGTCCAAGAATCTCAGAGATTGTGGGGCGGTTACTGTCTTGCAGTCAAATTTTTTTGACAAGTAATTTGGGCGATATGAAGAAAACAATTTTGCCAGCAGACATGAAATTAATATTATGGCACTACACATGAAAATACATATTTTTTCCATCCTCTAGGAAATGAGTGCAGCATTTTCAGTAGCTGAACTTTTGAAAAATGTCTTTTAAAAGATTTTTTTGGGGGCAGGGGGAAGTAAAGTACTAATATTTACAGGACTTATATGAAAATGATGTTCTTGTGCTCCCTCTGCTGTTTCTGTCACAGTGGAGAACCGGGAGCGTTTCAAGAGCTGTGTATATTCCTTCATATACAGTAAGAAATACTCATGCCTAAATAAAAAGGGGAGTCATTTCTCCTGGCAAAAGAATTTTCAAAACTAAAGCAGCATGGTGTAAAAATTAAGGATAAAAAGCATCATCTATCTGGAAAGCAAGCTTTTACGCATGATACAATGCCATGGACATACCTGGGCTTTCTTTAAATTAACATTAAAGTCTGTTCCATTAAGAATACTAACAAAATACAATTCCATGTGAGTTCTGAATGTCATTGTAATTTCAGTTATGCTATTGTTATTTACCATCACAATTGTTCAGACAATTTTTACCAAGAGTGCAGGGTTAATATCCAAAATATGGTCCTTCTAAAATACAAGCAGTGAGAAACATACTGCTAGTTTTAAAATAGTCTATTTTCTCTACACAGATGGATGACACACCAACACTATCTAGCAGAGGAAACAGCAAATGCAAGAACATCAAAACTATTTAAAATTGGTTGAAATATCTCATATAACAAATAATAATGAACAATGTCAGGAAAGAGGACTTACCAAACTGGTTAACGACTGAAATTCTTAGCACATCATCAGTGAGGGGAAACACTAGATTTAATCTCTCTCGAAGCGGGATTCCCCTGTATCACATGCTTGTTTTTTCATTGTAATAGCATGACTATTTTCTTTTTAATACTTGGTTTAACACTGCCTTCTTTTAACCCTAGGCTAACAACATTTACATTATTATAAGGGGATTTTTCTCATATTATTAAGAGACTGAACCAGCTGCAAGAGGGTATAATTTCTACTTTTGAAATCTAAAAACCAAGAAAAGATGAAATTTTCTCGATAATGGTTTTGCAGAGAAAAACATCACAGGCAGTTCCACCTTTGTGAACACGCAAATTACAAAATAGTGACTGTATTCTGAATATTGGTATTAATTAAACAATACCTCTTATAAAGCAGGAGCACATTATTTTTTTTTCATCATATCAGGCCTGATTTGAAGACAACATATAAGCAAAACAGTTAGCACTCTTCTATCTAACATAAACAAGGAAGACAAGGTAGCGGACTGCCCAACTTGGTTTAATATACGTAACAGACTGCAAAAAAATTCTTAAGTAGAGTAACACACCCCTTAAGATCCTCCTAGGTTTGAGATGAGTGGAAAGTTATTGTGTGACTTCATTATTTGTAAAATATCAAGGCTTTTTATGAAAAATAGCTTTGCTTTTGCAGCATACCTGTGCAGCACTTCAGAAAAATGCTTTTTGTCCCATCAGACAAACTGTCATGGCACGTACAAAACATTCCGTTGGCTCTTCTCAAAAAAATTCCCTAGAAAACACTGTTAATCCTCTGAAGATACTACTGCCACTTCACAAATAATAACTGCCTCTGCAGATTCAACAAACTTGTAAAGAAAGTTCTCTCTTTCATACACAAATAAGATTTTAAAAAGCTTCTTATTGAATGTTTTACTTATCTGGAGAACTTTCCATGCCAAAATGCTCTACAAATGAGAGTATCTTCAACACATATAAGCCTCACTTCACAACTGAAATGTCACCAGGTACAGTTACGGTCTTCCCGACCGGTTTTTAACATCATAACTTCAGTTTATTTCTTTATAAAACGTAACGAGTTAAGTTGCCTGTAACAGTTCCAACCTACAGAGTAGGAACCCTAAGTTTCCAGTATGTTTCATTTCCATTGCAGGGGCTGGGGGTTGGTTGTTTGAGACACATTGCATTGTTTCAGTACGCCGTTAAAGTAAATATTTGCATTTCAGACACAGACTGGAAGAAACTGATTTATTAAAGCTTAGTAAATATTCAGGACTGTATAATTTAAAAAAATCTATTACTCCAACCACGTGTTGAATGAAAAATGTCTCTCAACATGTTAAGATAAATGCCTGGATACTCGCTTGGGTAAAAAGAGCAAGATTTTGTCATCTGCAGGCCTAAGGGAACTAAAAAAGCACAATAGGGTCAGGAGTGCCTGGCTTCAGTACGGCTCTGGGCATAATCTGAAATAGGTGTAGGAGTTGTCTTCCATCATTCTCACACTACAGTACTTTAATGAAGTTGGAAACTGAGCACCAAAATAGTCACTGTAAAGGAACTAGGGCTGCAGTAAGGTTTTTGTCCTAAATACTTGGATGCTATTGTGCTACATTAGATAGATTTTTTTTTTTTTTAATTTGCTTGGAAATTAAAGTTGTAACAAAATTATTTGATAAACAATTTTATTTTTCCTTTTATTTTTTTTTTATGAACGAAGGATTATGTTTTAGTAAGACATCAGATTTTAACGCTTCTAAGTGTTATTCTGGCACAAGACAGTACTTCCCGTGTTTGTTTTTACAGTCGATCCACTTCACTTCATCTGACTTGAAATGTCTTTGCAGTATTCTGCATTATTCTCCCATCCAAGCTTAAAAAAAATCATCCTTGGAACGTTACTGTGTTATAAGAACGTGGCTATGAAATACAAGCAAAGACCGTTTTTCAAGATGAACTATTAATGAATGTTAAGTTCAGAAAATAATTACTAAACAGCTGAGGATTTTTTTTTTTAAATGAGATTTGATCTATAATTTTAATTTAAAAATTCTCCAAGTAGATCAACAGCCACTGATGATGAGATCTTCAGCAAAATCTTCCATTGTATTTAAAAACTCCTGACAAAATGTGCATGCTGTATTTGAAGGCCACCACTCAATCCAAGTGCTGGAGTCCAAAGGGTACTGGAATCTAAGACGACAAAAGAAAATGATCATTTGCTGCTAAGATTTGGGGAGGAAAATGTCAAACAGAAAAAAATTACGATATGAAATTGCTTGCTTCGTGTTCATCATCCTGTTTAAATGTACACATCTGAAAACACGTTGTGTAACTATTGGTCGAACTAATACTTAAAAAATTAAGTCAAT